AGCTAACCTTTGAGCTACATAGGCTTGAAGGTTTTATATTTTTTACCTATACAATCTGCGTACAACAGTGTAACGAATAACGCAGAGAAAATATTTATGAAGGCTTTATCGGAGCGTATAACGAAGCAGTAATACTCAATTATAGTGACGTCATTAGGAAGTAAAACTAATGAACTTTGTTTCGATATTCTTACAATCGACATCCGGTAATAGACGAACAAACATGGATCTGTGATTTTATTGATCGTCTGCAATATTTTATGTTAGGTGAACATGTTGAATTAGGAGGGATAATCTAGGCGCTGTGTTTGTTTACACTGAACCATTGGGTCGTGTCTTTATGTTGAAACTGTAAATAAAGCTAGTGTTGGACAGTGTCTATATGTTGTAGCTGTAAATTAAGGTAGTGTTGGACCGTGTAAAGTAAAGCTAATGTAATGTGTCATTTTGTAGGTACTCACCAATGTATCAAAATGATGTAAAATATCTCTTAACCTCAACTTTGATGCCCCACCTCTTACCTCTAAAACTGGCGACACATACCCTAAAACCTAAACCTAAACATTTCCCAACAGCTGTTGAAGGAGAGGCCAGGACTGCAGTGCCTATGTGAGCTTAACTAAAGAGAACTGGCCAACGCAGAGTTTAGTGGATAGACGTAGCCTTCAGCCAGGGGCGGATTAAGGTTTGGCGGGGCCCCGGGCTGAAACTTTTTGGGGGCCCCTGATATATATATATATATATATATATATATATATATATATATATATATATATATATATATATATATATATATATATATATATATATATATATCCTAATCAGCATACTCTTCAAGATAATAATGGATTTTTTATAACTTATAGGAACATTCGACACCGATATTTACAAAACTGCTAATTTAAAAAGCTGTCAATTGTGTTCAATGAGCGGTAAATTGGATACAAACATCTATCCTTCTTCTTTTTCGTTCTTAATGTTAGTGTTGGAAGGGATCAACTGGTTATGCGCCTTTGAGGCCATTGACTTCGATTTCAGCTACTTTTCTATTTTAATCTGTTTACATAGCCTTTGTCCAACCAAGAACAAACTACAGCAGATGTTTGATTTTGGAGTTTTCTCTCCTAGAAGAGTGGCTATCCCCAGCTAACGAGCTTCTTTTACCCGAGGGTTTGAACTCGAGACATTTCGGTTAAGCATCCATGATGCTTTACCGACTCGACCACGCCGATCCCCTAACATCTAACCAATATGTACTCATTTTTTGCAAGATTATATGTTGCCCCCACCCACTACCACGACTCACACACTAACAAAACACAGGCGAGATCCATCCGCTACGTCAGAAGTGCTAAATATATGACTGTTTACTATAGGCCTGTGGAAGTTTCCGACCTCTGACCATCGACCTAACCGGGTACCAGACGGTAAGACGATGTCCTGTGTCTGGTGGTGGGGGAAGTAAAGCCTGGATAGAGCCTACGGATAGATAAGCGACCAACAGGTAGTGTTTCAAACCAACATCTTCGTGAGACTGATTCAGTCCACAGTTTGCCATTTAGTTGGAGTTCACTACGTCGAGGCCTGCCTAGCTAATTGGAGTCAAACTCCTGAGCCTGTATATCCGTGTCACGATAGTTATTGAACTGTCATTCAAGTATTTATATTGGGCATGAGAAAGCTGGAAATGCAGACTAATATTGAACAAATATAAATATCCATGAGAATATTATAATGTCGTTATAGAACAGACGATAAAGACTATTGGCACTTGTTTGCTTGCAGACTCAAAAAGAAAAAAAGAGAATTTCAAACCACTCTATGTGGGAAATTATTAATAACATTCGGAGGTTAAACTAGGCCCAACTTAAAACAGTAAGCACGACATGAGCGTAAAAAAAAAACATCCATCCTCTTAGGTGTCATCCATTTATGAGGCGCACAAAAAGTTGGATTTCCAAAGGCGTCCATTTAAAGACTGCCATCCCTAGCCTCTACACACGATATTCACTAAAAGTAAAGGCCTATAATGGTTTTAAAAGTTTAAATCATAGAGTGTTCACACCAGATTCATGTCATTAATGGGTCAGAATTCGACCGCTGTTTGTGTTTTTAACTCTAAAAGTAATCCAATTTAATGTCATAAGCGAACGCTGTCCGAGCTGGTATTTATACTAAAGTGTGTGCTCAAGTTTGATATTTTGAACAAAATTTGTAATAAACTTGGGATTCAAATATGAAAACATTGGCTTTTATAGTAAAAAAAAAACAAAAAACCCCAAATATTTCACTTTAAAGGGAAATTTACTATGTTTAAAAAAGGAAATTTGGGGGCCCCTAAAAATCGGGGGCCCCTGGCTGCAGCCCCCTCAGCACCCCCCTTAATCCGCCACTGCCTTCAGCCATTTGGTTATAGGGGCTTCATAGATTTCATTAAAGTCAAGTCAACCTATAATCAAATCCTCATTTGACCCACTATCTAACCCTATTAAAAACGAAT